AAGCTTTGTATATGTAGCTAATCACCATCTAAGAAAAAGGAGCTTTGGCTCAAATGTCCGACTTTACAGGTCAAGCACACATTAATCCTCGTCTTCCGGGATAGACACGGCCAAATTGACTCTCCAATCTCATGGCATTTAACCGTTCCAAAGCCAGTCTCAGATCTCAGGGGCTGGCGCTAGGCAGAAATCAGAAGTGCTAGACATCAAAAGAATCATAGCTGACGCTGGGCCAGCCGTGGTAGGGTGGATAAATTGTCAAAAATTAGTGCTCTAGGAGGAGAGCACTCTTGGAATAAGCCGGCAGGCCTGCATCTATGAATAAGATTACAAATGATACTCGGCGTGCGCAGTTGAAAACAATGATCTCTGGCCTGTCATCAGCTGTCCGTTAATGACTGCCCTACAACCATTATTAAAGACAATGACGATTAGCGCAAAATGCGTTTTACCGTACGTCGTAATAAGCTTTTAACACGTTGGTGTTGTCAGAGTGTTGAAGGTGAACGATCCCGTGGACGTGCAATAAAAGGCTATTGGCCCGCTGAGAAGCAGTGTTAAGTTAACTGTCAAAGCTTTCGGTCCGACGGACACACCTGGACGCCCTGCTTCGATCTTACCTCCTTTGATCCTTATGTACATTTTGCCAGACCGTTTCCGCGCATGTTCCAAAACACGGCACCAAGGCGTGGGAAGTACGTAGCTTACTTAGGCCATCGGTCTTGCAAGCCAACTGCCAAGTGTAACGAACAAAGCGCGAACAAAATCTCAAATTCATAGTAAACTTTTCCAAGCAAGATCACCATTGTAATCTCCCAGATGTTCTGGGAAATACCGCTCCCTACGACCAGCCGAGATATAATAAAACTCATGTTGCTTTCCATGCTACATGCTACTTCCTACTTTCCACATATTTTCCAAAAAAGAGGTGCTCTTGACCCAAGAAGTATTTAGTTAACTTAGACCGGCGATCTCGCAAACCGGAGGGCAAACGTCACGAGCAAGCCAAAAAATCACCAGTGTGTTACAAACTTTCCTGAGAAAACTTCAGATATCATAACGATCTTCTCTAACTTTGGTCAAAACGCAGATAGCCTGGAAAATACGTTTCGTCATTTTCCTTGCGACCAAAATAGCACGCGGTCTTACCTCATTCAGGCCGGACCTTCGGGAGCTTTGTCGTTATTGGATTTGACCATTCGACCTCTGATTTCTGGGAAACATGCAGCAACATCGCTGGTAAGAAATAACATTGCCGCCGCGAAACCTATCACATTTAGCTATCTGATTTCATGGCACCATGAAAGCAAACATCAACGTTTTATTTAAGTGGAGAACACACCTGAAGCCAGCAGTAAATATACCGTGGAAAGCATGCTTCCTGCTAATGACGTCATCACGGTTTGCTCCTGGGGTTATGCAGAGCTAGTTTGACATATTCGTGGCCGCTGAACGCAGACGAGGCTGGCCACGTGCCGCAGGTTAGGCGCAGCCCTGCCGCAAGTCACAAATCTGTCGTCACAGACAATTCGCTTTGCACTGATGAAGCCGATGCAATAGCACGGTAATGTAACGCATGCATGTGTAACGCATCACAATAATTATGATGCTCGAAGAAAGAAATCATCTTGATGCAAAATGACAAGAAAATATCCGTTCTGCTTTAGTATCTTGCAGGTAAGGAGTCCTTAAGCTACCTCTACTCAAAGCCATGCCTGGTCTTACTAAAAGAACGGTCCGACGCTATGGTTGGCTATGGTAAGCTCAGCGGACGGGGTCGTTTTCGGAAAAAAAATATCAAGAGCAAAGTTTTAAGTTATCCCTATGATGCAACAGCAGGAAAGGGGCGAGGGCAAGCAATGAAACCCGTGCTGTCTGTGGCGTCCGCTGCTGGATGACCTTAGGCTGGGGATACACCTGATCCTTATGCAGTCAAGTTATCTTTAGGACAGGTTTGTAAACGATGGGTCATCGATGGTCAACGATGGGTTTGTTCAAGTAGATACCCATGAACACAATTTCAGGTAGTAATGTGATAAAACGTGATAAGCGGCTATTGGCAGCAACTCAGTGCACACAGACTCGGTTGTGGTGATAACAAGAGCAATCGCTGTGGTGATGACGAGAACAATGGCTGCGGTGATGACGAGTACAAGTGCTGTGGTGATAACGAGAACAATGGCTTTCAGACCTGCACCCCTGAGTGCCGCACACCCGTCTCGTCCGTCATGACTATATGCCGGACGGCAGCTCAACATCTGCCTGTTTTCCCTGTCCAAGGGGCAAAACGGGGCGTGGAGTGCGGGCACCAAAAAAAAAAAAAAAAAAAAAAAAACGCAGACGGAAACGTAGGGACAGGCTGGATGGCGCAGTCAAAAATTCAAAACGGAGAATTTTGTTTCTTTTTCATAGCAGGTAATTTTTGAGATGGTGGCCTCTTGTGTCAAAGGCTCTTCCGCCAGTGATTATGCGCGGTTAGGGGCTCGGATGCGCTGGAATTCTGTTTGAATAGAAATAAATCCTGCTTCCCTCACTTCACTCCACGGTGGAAAAATAGCATACATCTGTCATATCCCGTCCTGTCCTTTACTTGATGCATCACGGTAAATGAGCCTAACATACAGTTATCTGCTGTGTTTCATTGAGGAAAAGCGCACGTTGTTTCCGTATCATGCGCGACAACCAAAGAAGTTGTGACTGTAAAACAACACCCGACTAAAGCTATTTTGTTCGTAGGTGCTGCTATGGTTACAGCCGCGCCTATTGCATTGCGTAGTCATACCCAAAACAGAAATGTCAACAAAACCTTATGAATCGGCGACAATATACTTGCTCTTGTGGCAAATTTTGCGGCATATATATATAATGCATCTTTTTCATTATTTCTTGTCTATATATATATATATATATATATATATATATATATATATATATATATATATATATATATGGACAAGCAATAATGAAAGTCAACATTCGTCAGATATCACTGGCATATTAGCTATATGCGCCGGGTTATCTTTTTGTCCGGGGTTCTTATTACCTTCTCTTTCCTCTTGTTCTCCATAACAATCGAAATTAATGGATCATATTTCAATCCCAGTCTACGTTGACCTGCAGAGGGGGCGTATATGTACGCATCCACGCCACCTAAGAGTGAGATTCGTGTCGTCTTTCGGCCACCCAAATCGGTTCTGCCTGTCAGATGCCTTTACCCAGAAAGAGCGTTCTCCGAGAAACGGTGGGATTTAAATAATTCGCGTTGCACGCACATATTTGATTGATAACATAAATGGTACATCGATCAGGAAAAGTTCATGCTATTTTAAAGCTGCCCGCTGGTTTGGACAGATCAACACGTGCTTCATGTGGTCCCAACCTCGCTTCAGGCACTGCACCGCCCGATCCTTCCGTTCTGACATGACGGTTTGGCTCGTTTCCTATTTTAGAAGCTTTAAGTCTTTCGTATACACATTTTATGGCCAGCATAATTTTCAGACTCTAGGAGTACATTTTTGCGTCGCATACACCGCTCTCCCACAAAAAAGAAAGCTGAGGTATGGATGTAGCGAACAGAGGCCGGGGAGGGCATGACCCCCCTGCTTTTTGAGAATACCTTGTATCAACCCTATAACGATGCATGGAAGGAATCGACTTTAAGATTGGCAATGCCACCCCCCCCCCCCCCCCCAGTTTCCTGGGGCTTTTCTACCCTTAGTTGGAGAGGGGCGGGGCTTGGATCGAGAGAATGGGCAGGTTAGTTGTTCTGCTCCTTCAATGACGTAATTTTGGTGCAAACCTCCCTCTGATTCATTGTCTCGTCTCCTTCGCCGTGCGTGACGTCATATCATATCCTCCGTCGTGTGTGACGTCATATCATCTGGCTGAAGCCACCGGCGTGACAGGTCTTCACCTCAGATTATTTCAAAAGCCACCTAGGACCCCTCAAGGACGGCCAGGTACCGGCCGGCCGTCACGGTCACTGCAGCGTCTCGGTTGTCAGGGAACAGGGGGGGGGGGGGGGCAACGACGCCTCAGCCGTTGATAACGCACCGGGCTGCTCACTTTTCGCCGCGCGGCTGTGCTTCGCGAACCTCATCCGAAGCCTCGGTCCGGGGGGAAACAGAGATGCGTTTCTGGCTTTTGATTTTGCCGCGTAAATAAGGTGCGCCCTTATCGCTGAACCAACTCCAACCGGCGGACAATGATCACAGTTGCACAGCTGCACGAATCAAGCACTGTAAAAGCGTGCCTTATAATCGGTGGGTGAGGCTTCTAATGCGAGCTTTTTTGGGAACACCGGGCCAAGGTCTTGTCCTGCCATCCTCGACGCTTAGGCCCTACTGGCAGCCTGGTCTCATGCTGTCTTAAGTGTGCAGAAGGATGCCTTTATGGGGTCAAAAGAAGGACCTATTAGCACCATGCTCTAGTGAAGGAAGAGGCCTTATTATCCAGCTCTTTTTTAAGCTCAGTGATGCTCCCTTACGCTGCTGGTTAACGCGGGACTTGCCGAGGGGGACAGGAACGGCGGCTGTGACTTCAGTCTAAGATTGAAAATGGAAGGCCTGATCGAGATCAACTCAATCAGCAGCCCTGTTCGATTCAAATGCAACTTTTTGCTGCACCGTTCAGAGAAGCCACTGTCCGTACGTGACCGGTGTGAAGTGAGCAGGTACTGACGTCTTCCCGCTGGTGCCGAAGTCTGCCTGCCCGCTGGTGCTGACGTCTTCCCGCTGGTGCCGAGGTCTGCCCGCCCGCTGGTGCTGACGTCTGGCAGCCCGCTGGTGCTAACGTCTGTCTGCCCGCTGGTACTGACCACTACCCGCTGGTGCTGACGTCTGTCCGCCCGCTGGTGCTGACGCATGCCCTTCCGCTGGTACTGACGACTGCCTGCCCGCTGGTGCTGACGTCTGCCTGCCCGCTGGTGCTGACGCTGCCCGCTGGTGCTGACGTCTGCCTACCCGCTGGTGCTGACGCCTCTCTGCCCGCGCCTGCCACAGGAGCAGCTGCAGCAGCTGGAGGCGGCGTTCGCCAAGTCACATTACCCCGACATCTACTGTCGGGAGGAACTAGCCAGAACCACCAAACTCAATGAGGCACGCATTCAGGTAAGCTGCTCACCAGGGCGTGCCACTTGGACACAAATGCATCTTGTGCCAAGTGGCCGTGGCATAAAACAACGAAACGGTTATATTTTTATTCACCGCAGCATAACGTAAACTGCCCCCGTTGAATAAGCTTTGATATCATGAATTACAGTTCAACTACGGCTAATCTATAACACATACAGGCCTATTCCACCAGAGTGATATACTGGACTAACTTGTCCCGTGTGCTGGGTGGTGGCATGGAAAGGAAACAACAATCGGGCCTGCAAGTTGTGAGGAGAGCCCAGATCCTGACTGTTCAGTAAAACCGATTGGCTTCGCACGAAAGTCATATGAATTGTCTCTTAACGTCCATTTAATTGAATGGCACAGTAAATTATAACAGCCCATTGCCACAGTGCTGGGGCTAATGGGAAAAACGTCAACCGTCTTTTTTCATCCGATGAATTTCTTGTCAATATCTACTGGAAAAATCCTCATTAGCGAGCAGTGCGCAATGCATAAAAGTCGGCCGCATAGCGTATTTATTTGCCGCAGTGTCCAGTCAGGCGCCTGCTGTTGCTGACGGCTGCTGCGCCTGCTGTTGCTGCATGATACTACGGAGATGAGGCATGCGCTTGGCGCGCTGAATGATGACATGCATTTTACCATACAACACTGTGATATTTCATTTAATGCCACTCAAAACCATATCTTGATGCAGCTATGTCGCTTACCCACGAGCAGAGTACTTAAGAAAAGGTGACAAACTAGTTTGGGCTACTGATCGACAACACGTTCACATCCGTACAAGGGTGAAACACAGGGATATTCTGGCACTGTTTTTCGAGCGTTGCCTAAAGCCATAGTAGATGCGTAAGTCAGGTTTTTCTGATTGAATAACTTTACTAAATGAGAAACCCGGACCAGCTGATGAGAGGAACACACAAGACGTTTTCAAGCTCTGCTCGACACCTAGCGGACGCAGAAACAGGCCTGCCACGCGGAAGTGCCAGAGGCCACGAACCGACGGCCTTCCCCGCATACAAGCTTCGACGCGAGCCTGGTCCAGCGAGGGCTGTTCTCTCGGCGCTGCGCCGGACTGCCGTGACGCAGCAGTTAACACACCTGGGAGTGTGGAGACGATTACATTACGTGATCGATGCAATTTTCCAACGGTTCGCCTGCCAGCTGCATGGTTGCGAGCAAATTATTCCACAAATGCTTCGGAAACTTGGCGAAAGCGCACAGCCAAAACCACGAACAAACGACATGGATGCGATAGCAACAGCAGCAGCGCATGAACTCTCAGACTCCATCCAGCAGTTTGTCCCATGTTATCGACTGCCCTTCGGCTGATACCTAAAGCCACAATGATAGCACGATCGCCGCTGATGGCACAGCCGACAGTGAATCTATGTGACCATTGATGGCACATCGACAGTGGATCCATGTGTCCACCGATGGCACATCGACAGCGGATCCATGTGTCCACTGTGGCGCATCAACAGTGGATCCATGTGTCCACTG